CAAGGAAAAAGATCTGGGGGTGAGTATAACACCGAGCTTATCTCCTGAGGCGCACATCAATCAGATAACTGCTGCAGCATACGGGCGCCTGGCAAACCTACGGATAGCGTTCCGATACCTCAGTAAGGATTCGTTTAAGACTCTGTATACCATTTACGTCAGGCCCATACTGGAGTATGCAGCACCAGTTTGGAATCCACACCTAGTCAAGCACGTCAAGAAATTAGAGAAAGTGCAAAGGTTTGCAACAAGACTAGTCCCAGAGCTACGGGGATTGTCCTACGAAGAAAGGTTGAGGGAAATCGGCCTGACGACACTGAGGCCAGGAGGGTCAGGAGAGACATGATAACGACATATAAAATACTGCACGGAATAGACGAGGTGGACAAAGACGGGATGTTCCAGAGATGGGACACAGACACAAGAGGTCACAATTGGAAGTTGAAGACTCAGATGAATCAAAGGGATGTTAGGAAGTATTTCTTCAGTCATAGAGTAGTCAAGCCGTGGGATAGCCTAGAAAGTGAAGTAGTGGAGGCGGGAACCATACATAGTTTTAAGGCGAGGTATGATAAAGCTTATGGAGCAGGGAGAGAGAGGACCTAGTAGCAATCAGTGAGGAGGTGGGGCCAGGAGCTATGATTTGACCCCTGCAACCACAAATAGGTGAGTACACACACACACACACACACTTTAGTTTAATATCTTTATTATGCACCCCATACCCATCCTGTGGGCAGTAGTCAAAAGATTACAAAGGTACATAATGGGTCCAGTGACTGGACCCCAAAGTTATGATAGCTGAACTAGTTACAAAGGTAATGAACTCCAGGTAGATCTGGTCACAATCATGGCAAGTTACAGAGGTAATAAATCAGCTTCACTCCTATACATGGTTACAGTCATGAGCAAATTACAAAGTAATGAACCACTGATACGTCCACACCTGGTCACAATTGTAATGAGTTATAAATACAAATATTAAGTGGTTCATACACCCACACTAGCACGCGCGCACACATACACACACCAGGGCGCACGCACGGACATGTGCACACAGGTACAAATAATCAACACACAAGGACGCACACCACACACACAACACCCACACACACACCCAACCAACACACACACCCAACCACACACCAAAACACACACACAAACACCGGTAAGCATTATTCGCACAAAGTCGGGTATTTCTCTAGAAGGGTCGCAATAACCACTGTGGATAAAATACTTTCCTTTTCTTGAACATTTTGATGAGTTTTTCAAAATCATTAATTTGAACACTCCAGACATAATGACCAAAGGTGACAATAGTCCATCTGGCAAAGTTTTTTCATTTGTTTGGGGCTACAATTTGGGGGTGATTTAAACCCGCCCCTAGATACTTTTAACCCCGCCCGGGGCCAGGCGTAGTGAATCCAAGGTCTGCTTTCTTGTTGGAGCACCATAGACCTGTGGCCCTCCTGCATGATGGGAAAGATAAGATGGACTGCTTGTCAATCTCCCCATCTTAAGAAAAAGTTTATTGAAGTTTTTTTTGATTTTGTTCTCAAAAATGCAACGACAACCCAAGATTTTTATCTACTCCCTCTTTGAAAGCATACAGCTTAGCCAATTTATCAGTTCTATCATGCATCTGAAGACCAATGTGAGATGGAATCCAGAGCATGTGCACTCTGACTCCACTGTCCACAATCTTACCATACCTATGTCTGGCTTCTGACAAGCATGCCACAATTTGTACTTAATGAGTTGAGAGCATTTATGGATGACAGAGAATCAGTTACAATTAAAGTGTCAACCTTAGATACATGGACACATTTGAGTGCAAGGAGTATGGCAAACAGTTCTGTTTGAAGGGTAGAGGCCCAGTTATTGATGCGTGCTCCAATTTCTTTATGAGAGCCATCACTCTGTGTGACAACAGCAGCACTACCAGCTGCACCAGTGGACTGGTGAACAGAACCATCGATGTAAATAATTTGTGAAAGAGCGTTCTGTGTGACTAAGTTATCAATACAGCTTAAGGCATCATGTTTGGCTTCAAGACGAAGCTTTGGTTGTGATTTAAGAAGAGTTTTGGGGCGAAATGGAGGAATGGTAGTTTGGAATGGGGTAATATCCCATGGAGCAGGGAAATGTCTCTGTTGTCCAACTTGATATAGATCATGTAGCTGGTTCATGCGGAGGTCGGTTCCAGTTTTTTCGATCCATCTGGAAGGATGTTCACCAGTGCTGAGGAAAGTTTGGAGGGCTTCTGTGCAGGGGTTTGAATGGGCTAGCCTAAGCATACTGACCCCAATAAGGATATTTCTTTCAGTAACACGATCTCTAATGCTTGGAATACATATTAAGTTCTTTCCGCATATTTAAAATTTTGGCAGTCTGAGGGCATCCTAGGATGATCCTCATTGCTTCGTTTTGCAGTTTTTCCAGCCCTCCAAGCTTCCAGTCAGACACGAGTGCAAGTAGTGGCGCCGCATAATCAACCAATGATCTAATATAAGCAAGATACATCGTTTTCACAATTTTAACATTAGCTCCATACCTGGGATGAAAACCTGCCACAACTCTAAGTGCTCTCAGCCTTTGTATTGGCGACAAAGTCTCGTTACAACAGGTCCAAGTAGTGGAACCTCAAAGCCTAGATACCTGTATCTGCTTACATATTCTAGAAGAGACCCATCATGCAACTGGATCTGACGAACTGTGCCTCTCTGCCGAGGAGGACGTCTGTTGAGTATCTTTGTTTTATCCCCTGAGATCATTAACCCCAGGTCCTGACACGAGGCTAGTACATGATTAAGAATGTTTTGGGTGTTGGAGAATCCGGTGGTGTGAATCATTATGTCAACAGCAAAACTAACCATATAATGATGGGGCTGGTATATTTTTAAATGTTTATACAGTAGTTTACTGCATTTTGTAATAAACAGGAGAGAAGAAATCAGCTCTAATATACATTATTTAGGTATGAATACTGGTCAAAGCTCCCGTCGTAAGTCCGAGTCGTCGGTAAATGAGTACATCGCTAAGTGAGGAGAGGCTGTACTGGATATCAGATGGGAAAGAGCGAGAATGGAGGAAGATGGATCCGAGAGATGAGGTGAACCATAAAATGCACAAGGGGGAAAAAGGTAAGTGATATTGAGCAGTCTTTGGAAAAAAGTTTATCTATGAAGACAATACGGAAAATGTACTAGAGTATAGTGGCATCTGGCCTGCTGATTTCCTTGAATACCTTACCCTGCTCACATTCCAACAGCACGTCAATTTCTAAAAACCACTTGTCTCCATTTGCTCCTATTTAACATGCTCACACATGCTTGCCCTCCCTCCAACCTTTCCTAGGACGACCCCTACCCCGCCTTCCTTGTTGCAACTGCCTCCAGCCTTCTCCTTGTTGCAACATTCACTACCCATGTTTCACACCCATATGAAAGCATTGGTATAACTATACTCTCATACATTACCCTTTTTGCTTCCATGGATCAAGTTCTTTGTCTTCACAGACTCCCAAGTGCACCACTCACCTTTTTTTCCTCATCAATTCTGTGATTCACCTCATCTTTCATAGACCAATCTGCTGACACATCCACTCCCAAATATCTGAATACATTCACCTCCTCCATACTCTCCCTCCAATCTCATATCCATCTCTCGTCACCTAATTTTTTTGTTATCCTCATCACCTTACTCTTTCATATATTCACATTTAATTTTCTAGTTTTACATATCCTACCAAACTCATCCACAAACCTCTGCAACTTCTCTTCAGAATCTCCCAAAAGCAGTGTCATCAGCAAAGAGCAACTGCGACAACTCCCACTTCGTGTTAGATTCTTTATCTTTTAACCCCACACCTCTTGCCAACACCCAAGCATTTACTTCTCTTACAACCTCATCTATAAATATGTATATTGAACAACCATGGTGACATCACACATCCTTGTTTAAGGCCTACTTTTACTGGAAAATAATCTCCCTCTCTCCAACATACTCTAACCTGAGCCTCACTATCTCCGTAAAAACTTTTAACTTATTTCAGTAACCTACCTCCTATTCCATACATTTGCAACATCTGCCACATTGTTCCCCTATCCACCCTGTCATATGCCTTTTCCAAATCCATAAATGCCACAAAAACCTCTTTAAACCCATCTAAATACTGTCCACCTATATGTTTCACTGTAAATGCTTGGTCTACACACCCCCTACCTTTCCTAAAGCCTCCTTGTTCATCTGCTATCCAACTCTTCATCTTACTCTTAATTCATTCAATAATAACTCTACCGTACACTTACCGGGTATACTCAACACTTATTCCTCTATAATTTTTGCACTCTCTTTTGTCTCCTTTGCCTTTATACAAAAGAACTATGGATGCTCTCTGCCAATCCCTAGGTACCTTATCTACACATTGCTCTTCCTTTAAGAGCACTGTGAGGTGTGAATATTATGCGGAGAATTAGGAGCACAGATACTAGGTGGTGCGCACTACAATAGGTATATTTCAAAGGGTGCGTGGGTTGTTGAAGGGGTTTGGCTGTTTAGAAAGGCTAGAGGAGAATAAAATGGCAGAAAATGTATAAATCCAGGGTGGTGGAAGGGTGGTGAGTGGCTGAAATTGGCAGAGGCCTGAGCATTCAGCAGGAATGTGTATGTTAGATCAAAGTAAGTGGAGACTAGTAGTTTAGAGCTTGAGTTGGAAAGCAAGACGGTAACATCACGAAGATACGTATTCAGGGTATAATGGTTAGCTGGACCCCAAGTCCTGGAAGTGTGAAGTACAGTGTCTGCTCTGAATGAGGGGTTGTAGATGTTACTGTTCAGAGAGTCATCTGAACTGCAATGTTTGCACACTTCTGGCAGGAGAGCTATTGAATGAATGATAATGTACGAGTTTCTTTTGTTGGCCCACCGTACGCTGATTAAAGATACCCATTTGTTAATAAAAAATGTATTCTGGAGAGTAGGGAAAAATGACAATCTGATTATTAATGCCCATATATTTTTATTGCAGTGCAGTCACATAAGGTCCTAAGAAACAACAAAAGAGCAAAATTGTAGATAAAGGTGCATTGTTAAATTAATTTTCTTGGAAGACCAATGAAAAAACATGTATGGTAATATACAGCTTATAAACAAATCTATCACATGATATTCTTATAGGAGTCAATCACATCTTTTTTTTACCACTACAGGTGATCTAATGAACAAACTGTAAAATAATTTATGTCTTTATATATAGCTAGAAATAAAGAAGACATTTCTAAGAGAGCCTTACAGTGTGTGACAATCAGTAACATAGTTACAATAATATATATAAGTTGAAGGCAGCACTACTTCTTGGTCTCTGCAGTAACAATGTCAAGTGCTCAAAGATTTGGTACTAAGAGTAATACAAAACTCAGGCCTGTTGTAAGTATAAATTCTCATTTGCTTTTTATAATTTATGCTAGATTTACCTGAATATTTCTTAGTAGTAGCTTTTCCATATACACCATGTGGCCCAATATTCTATCTTACACAGCAGTTGGCGTTGGTCCATTAACCCAATCAACAATTTGCTTGTCGTACCACAAATAGGCTCCCCGGGGTTCCTTGATATCAGGAGGCAGAAGAGCCAAATAAGATGGGCACACAGCACCTTGCTCAATAGTAAGAGGACCCTGTGGGAAATACAAACATTTTAAAAATTATAATCTATAATAAACCCTGAAACTGTATAAATACAATTGCTACTGTAATAAAAAATTAGTGGTAATGATGCTCATCCTTACTCTTGACACAGAGTAAGGACTGTGTGAGTGCCTTAGACTGGAGTGGAGGCAAATGGATTTTGTGATGATGTGCTGTTGAAGTGTGAGCAAATGATAACATTTATGAAGGGATTCAGGGAAACCATTTAGCTGGATTCGAGTCCTGGAGGTGGGAAGTCTAGTGTCTTCACTCTATAGAAGGTGAGGATGTCATAATTTTGGAGGGCCATCAGTGCTGTGATGTCTACATGCTACTGGCAAGACAGATTTAATGAATGACTGAACTTACTTCCTCGTTGTTGGGTCACACCACTTCACTGGGAGATGGACAGTGTGTTATAAAGGCATTTCAACTGTGCTATGTAGCAAAACAAACTAAATTTATCTGATGCTAAAGTATTAAGTGAGCACTGACTGCCAATGTCTCGATACAATGTATCAGTTATTGTAATTTATGCCTTTTCCTGGTGCAGTCACAAACTATCTCTATATATCCTGTAACATACTAAAGTACTTCAATGGAACTACCTTTTTGTGGGGAAAATTTTTCAATTCAATTATGCTGTTGGCTGTACTTTCTAGAGACAACACGGCATACAGGTCATACCTGCAAGATCCTACAAAAATCTCTCTATATGATGAAAGAATACAGAAAAAGAGAAAATAAGTTTCTGAAGAATACATTAAGACAAAACTAACCTTATGGGAAGTCATATCTGTATCTACATATCCAGGATGACAGTTGTTCACCACCATATCAGGACGAGGGTCAGCATCAAAGGCTCGTTGCTGAATACGTGTGAGAGCTGAGACTCCTATCTTGCTGACAACATAGGTGCTGTTAGGCCATCCAGATTCTTTCCAAGTTCCATCTTTAGCTTTTCTGTGGTAAAATATTTAGAAAAACATAATTATAACAGATTTTCTAGTGAATAGGTTAAACCTATTTAATAGTTGTAATAAACAACTGTCAGTGAATACACAGAAGGATGGATGTGGGGCTCGAATTGCAGTCCACAAATTGAGAGTCCAATGCTCTATTGTTTTTATATATATATTTTTTCAATGCACCAGCCGTAAGAAACTTCATAAATTAAGTTTTTGTCTATGGAGATTATGCAATGTACCTTATAGTGTTAGTGCATTAATTTTGTTATAGAAATTATTATGTTATTATTAACTGCTGTACTCAGAAACAGGTAGGTAACTGATGTGAAACAACAGACAATACAGCCTCTCCTCACTTAACGACAGAGTTCCATTCCTAAGACCACATCGGTAAACGAATTTGTCGCTAAGTGAGGAGCATACTACGTATAATGGTAGTGGGTTTGTGTCAACCAGCTTTGATATTGTTTTAATGTCACCTTTGCACCATTTATAACATTTGTGGTATATTTTTAAATGTTTATACAGCAGTGTACTGTATATTGTAATAAATAGAATAGAGGAAATCAGCTCTAATACGTATACACTATTTAGCTCATTGTAAGTCCGAGTCATCAGTAAACGAGTGCTTCACTGAGGAGAGGCTGTATGTTACGCTGCATAACATCTTTTGAAAATGTGTCAGAACAAGAATGAAAATTACTTTTGAATTACAACTCTTGATCATTTAATTTTTTTAGTAATATAAATATACAAGCCCCTATCTTCTAATGAAAAATACGTACATGAATTTTTGTGGGTGGTTTTTGGGTCACAAGAAAGTCTCATTCCTGTTAAAACAAAAGAAACCATCACCCAACATGAAAGATTAAGACATTAAGCCAAAGAAGGAAAAAGAAAGTTGAACAGAAGACAAACAATAAGTCAGAACAGGCTTCCCCAACACTTTATGAAGGTTCATTTGCGCTTCGAATTTGCTTACAAAGTACACGTGATGGAAATTTCACCTACAATATAACCAGTAGATTAATCTGGTTTGTACAACATATATGCAGATAGGATGCTGTGCACTTTGCATGGTACTCTGTATAGGGAATTACTTAAGCCACACCAACTGAAATGGTGGGTTATTTTTTCTCAGTCAATTCCGACTCAAATTACATAATTTTTTTTTTTTTGGCAGATGACTGTTTATGCTGGTCGTGTAATTATGTATGTACAGAACATCTTGGGGAAAATTATTATTATAAACAAGAAGTGCTAAACCACAAGGGCTATACAGCGCTGCAGGGCAGGAAGGAAGCAAGGTTATCAGGTGGTAAAAGGGAGATGGATGAGTAATAGGTTACCCAAAACAGTGGGGCAGTGGATGGTGAAAGGGTAGAGGGCAGCAAGAGATTGAGGTAGAAAGGGCTGAGGGGAGTGCAAAAGGTATCATCATCAGAGTTTGTGGAGTAAATCAGTCGTTGTCAAAAAGTCAATGAGAGAGTCAGGATTAAAGAAGGGTCCATCAGCAAGAAGGGAAGGTAAAGAGAGAGTAGTAGAGTGGAGACGACGTTGGAGGTAAATTCTGCATGCTCATTGATAGAGAGGGCAGTCTAACAGAATGTAGCTAATTAATACTGGAACTCGACACTTCTCACAGAGAGGAACAGGGTGCCTCTCCATGAGATACCCATGAGTAAGACGAGTGTGGCCAATGCGAAGGTGGGAGAGAGTAGGCTCCCAACCTCGACACTGATGACAAGAAGACGGCCAGTAACCTATGCTCGGTTTAATAGAATGAAGTTTGTTACCGAGTAGAGTTGACCAACGTTGTTGCCAATGGGTGTGAAGGTGGGTAGCTATTACAGCAAAATAGTCCGGAAATGGAACACCTCTATATGAAATTGGTAGGTCATGTACTGCTGACCGCGCAGCAGTGTCTGCCTGCTCATTGCCCTGTACGTCGACATGACCAGGGACCCAACAAAAGACAACATCTTTATGCTTGGCAGAAATATGGCTGGATACGGAGAACTAGGGGGTGAGGTGTATCAAATTTCTGTAAAGCCTGTAGAGCACTAAGGAAGTCTGAGACAACCACAAATGATGATACAGGCATAGATGCGATACGAATAAGTGCTGCAACAATGGCATACAATTCAGCAGTAAAAATGGTAGCCGAAGATAGTAAATGCCCTCGCATGACACTGTCCGGAAACACTGCTGCGAATCCGATGCCGTCAGAAGACTTAGAGCCATCTGTGTACACTGCGATGGCATGAGAATGAGAGTGGAAGTGGTCAAGAAAAAGAGAGTGGGTAGCCACTGTAGGCAGTTGGGCTTTTGAGCAAGGGAGTGAGAAAGAACAGACCCGAACAGCTGGAACTTCCCAGGGGGGGTAGGGAAAAGTGAGATGCTACATGAACATATAAAGGTGGTAACTGAAGGGAAGACAAGAGCGAATGTACGCGAAGAGAGAAGGGGCAGAGCAAACAGGGGCGGCGAACAAATAAAGAATGTCTACCAATATCAGTGACCATTCTATAAATGGAAGGATTGCAGAGATTGTGAGAGCGTACATAGTAGCGAAGGCAATGGGCATCACAGCGATCAGACAAGGATGGAACATTCACTTCTGCATAGAGGCTCTCAACAAGGGAAGAGCGAAAAGCACCAAGGCATAAACGTAATCCTTGGTGATGGATGGGGTTAGGGCTAGAGAGAGTTGCAGGAGAGGCCGCTGAATAGATCTGGTCACCATAATCGAGTTTCGATAAAATGAGGGCTGAATGTAGGCGAAGGAGAGTTCGACGATCAGCTCCCCCTGAAAGATGAGCAAGGGTTTTAAGAAGGTTCAGCCGGCTGTGACAAGTTGTCTTCCCAGAGGTAATGTGGGGTTTCCAGGATAACCTACGGTCAAAGAGAAGGCCTAGAAACCTGGCTGTATCACGTTCAGGGATACGGGAGCCATAGAGGTACAAAGGATGATCGGAGGACAGAGCGTCTAGTGAAAGTAATTTGGCGAGTTTTGGTACTGGAAAATTTACACCCATGCGTGGTGGCCCAATTGGAAACATGGTCGACTGCATGCTGGAGAGAAACTGTAATGAGGTGACAGTCAGCGCCTGCACAAGCAATAGCGAAGTCATCTACATAGAGTGATGACCAAATATTGGATGGAAGAACAGAGGCCAAATCATTTATAGCAAGGAGAAAAAGTGTTGTGCTCAGAACACATCCCTGAGGACACCTTCAGCTTGGACAAAGTCTGAAGAGAGCACATTATTGACTTGAACATGGAAATGTCTGTCAGTTAAAAAGTTCTTAAGGAAAGATGGTACATTGCCTCAGAGACCTAAGGAGTGGGCTTGGGCCAAAATATTATACCTCCAAGTTGTGTCATATGCCTTCTCAAGGTCAAAAAATATGGCAATAACTGAGTGGTTAATCGAAAAGTCATTACGAACATACGTATCGAAGTGTAGTAAGGGGTCTATGGTAGAACGGGCCTTACGAAAGCCATATTGACGAGTGGAGAGACTGTCGTGTGTCTCTAAATATCACATTAAACGTCTATTTCCAGACGTTCCATCACTTTGCAAACTGCACTGGTAAGAGCGATGGGATGATAGTGGGAGGCTTCATGTCCCGTAGTACCCGGTTTGCGGAAAGGGAGAACAAAGGCAGATTTCCACAGTTGTGGAAGAACTCCTTGTGACCAAATAAGATTGAAAAGGTGTAAGAGGACTGCAAGGACTGACTGATGTAAATGTTGTAACATATGAATATGAATGTCGTTGGGTCCAGCTGTCGATGATCAGCAAGCTGAGAGTGTTGCCTCCAGTTCCTGAAGTGTAAAAGGCACATTATACTGTTCTTCTCTGAGAGAAGAAAAGTCCAAGGGTACTAACTCTCTGGCAGACTTTGATGAAAGAAACAAGGGGCATAGATGGAGCCCCAGAGGAATACGGACCATGTGATTGCCAATATCAATGGCAACATCTAGAGGGTTTGCTATATCAACACCGACAACCCACAGAACAGGAGCCGGGTCAGGAGAATATTTACCACTTAGTTTCCGTACTTTCTTCCAGACTGAACTCATTGAGGAAGCAGAGGTAATGGTGGAGACTATCTCGCCAGCAAGTGCGTTTAGAGTCACAGATGACACGGTGAGCGATCTCACGCTTCTGCTTAAAATCAAGAAGTCTCTCAGTGGTTCTGTTGTACCGGTACCTGCCCTACACAGCGCGTTTCAAACGTGCTGCATGAGCACAAGCAGGAGATCACCAAGGCACGCACTTCTGAGAATGCCTGCCCGAGGTTTAGGGTATAGAATGAGAAGCTGCTGTTAAAACTGAGGACGAGAAGAGGTGTAAAAGCTCATCAATGGAGGACGAAGAAGGAACCTCACTAAAAACAGTTAGTTGTGAGTAAAGGTCCCAATTTGCCTGATCAAATTGCCAGCGTGGGTTACGAAGAGGTGGTGAATATGAAGGGGAAGTAAAAATGATTGGAAAATGATCGCTGTCATGTAAATCCGGGAGAACAGACCAGGTGAAGTCTAGTGCGGCGGAGGAAGAGAAGACTGAGAGATCGATGCAAGAGAGAGTATGAGTACGAGGATCAAAATGGGTGCGAGTACCTGTATTTAAAACATGGAGGGGGTGGGAAGCATATCTTGGTAAGTACTGACCCTAAATTTTTTTTTTTTATCATATAACACTTAGAAAAATGTGCTCTTTCTTTCAATAAAAAAAAAACAATTTTTTTTATTTTTCAAAATATTCGGGGCACTGGCGTAGTGAACGTATATATACGTTTGGACCGTTTACGGGTTAAAGGTCCCATCAGGAAAAGGATCCGAAGAATACAATAAATTATAGCCTGAGATGGGCTAGATAACAGCAGAGTGTAATTTTAGTTCTTGTAAGCAAACACAAACAGGGGAAAACTGGGAGAGCAACATCTGAAGCTCACCCTGATTACCCTTGAGGCCCCGGATATTCCACTGTAAATAGGCCATGACTGGCAACGATAAAGATACTAGAAATCCGCAGGTAAGGGTACCTATGGACTAGAGGGGTTAGAAAACTCCACATGCGGTGGCAGCGGAAAACGTTCAAGCGGCGAAGGAACGATGCGCTGTGAAGAAAGAAGTTGCGCGGATGGAGAAAAGGAAAGAGAAGGAACAGAGGGGGGATCAGTGTCCATTGATAGTTTGGTCTCTGCAATATATTCAGAGATTGCTTCAAGTGTTTCAGAGTTCAGAGACATCGTATGGGAGACAATATTGGAGATGGAAGGATGAGGAGTTTGAGTAAAGATCGGAACTGTAATGGACTGTACCAAGGTAAGGGGGAAGGGGCAAAAGGGTGGAGGGAACTGGAGAAGTGTGGGAGGGGACAGAAGAGGCAGAAACCTGGGAAGTGGCAGAAGAGGAAGAAACTTGGGAGGGGACAGGGGAGGAAGGCACAGTACGAGGAGGAGGGTGAACCTCCACACTTGTAACAGAGCCAGTGAAAGGGGAAGACCCAGGTACAGAGACCGGGAAGGTAAAATGAGGAGGTGGATGAATTGAAGGAGGGGTTAAAGGAGATTTTTTGTACTTCTGAGAAGTAGAGGGACGATTGGGAGGAGGTGTCGTACGAGGTCTTGTCGGTACCGGGGTTTGTGAGAGAACACGAAGAAGTGAGAACAGACTGAGGTGTTGAAGTAGGGATGTCTGAGCCCAGGACAGCAAAAGAATTAGATACAGGAGTGACTATGGGAGGGGCAACCGCAGAGGAGGCTGCAGAAGATGGGACCCCAGAAGTAGGGGGACGTTTTGAAACATGAGAATAAGAAACACGGGGTAGTCTCCCTTGGAGGCGGAGATGAGAAACTGCCATAGCATGAGGGAGATCTTCTGCCTCTTTGAGGCAATGAATTTCCCGCTCATTTAAGTAGACCTGGCAACGGCGAGAGTACGAAGGGTGAGCCTCGTGACAATTAAGGCAAGAGGGAGGTCGACTGCAAGACGTATTAGAATGGCCATCGGCACCACAGACTGAGTATTCGGCTATAGATCTGCAATATTTTGCTGGGCGGCCAAATCGCCAGCAATTTCTATGCTGTTGCGGTGTAGGGATCACCTTTCGAACTTGTAACCGATGTCCTGCTACATAAACAGAGGATGGGATTTCACGGCTGTCAAAAGTTAAACGAGCCACACTGCAAGGGTATCGTCTCCGCCGAGGGCAGGAAGAACATAAGTGTCTACCTTGAGAATTGGGAGATCTTGGAGTTCCAGCTGTTAGAGAATGTCATTGCCACATGTCTGGAAATTCTGTTGGACTATGGTATGGGGCAGAATGACAGTACCACTTCAAGAATTGAGGGAATGATGTTTTTCGATAGTGATAGGAATAGTACAATATGTGAAAGAAGAGAAAGATCATGAGCTTGGGTAGCATTCTGGACTGTGATGATGTGCATACCACTCTTAAGAGCATGAAAGGAAATATCTCTACCAACATGGCGGAGGAGCGCCTTGCCAATACTATGGATGGAAAGATAGGCAATAGAGGAAGTCGGTCGTAAAGTAAAGAATTTAGTCCATTGTGCATTCTGAAACTGAGCGTGTAAAGGGAGAGTACAACGTGTCAGTCTTTTCTAAGTAGAATGAGAAGGTGGCAAAGAAGTATCATCGAGCAACTGTCGTTGGCGTTTAGGAGTGGGACCGGAGTTGGTCCGACGTGGGACGGCCTGGCGATTCGAAAATTGCTGCACCGTAGAGGGAGAGGCCGGAAGCATAGTCAAAGGAGAGCGGAGGTCAGACAAATCGAAGGAGTCAGTCGAAACCCCGGCACCTGAAACGGGTGACGAGACAGCACCAGCAAGAGGTACAGGGGCTTTAGGAGTGTCCGAAGAGTGGTCAAAAGACGAGGCAAGGTCAGAACGGGGTACGGTAACAAGAAGGGGCCCGGGGGTAGCGGGGTCATGGATTGGGAACTCCATGGTTAGGTTACTTCTTTCTTTTTGTTTTTAAGAAAAAAAAAGAAAAGAAAAGAAAAGAAAAAAAAAAGAAAAGAAAAGGGGGGACCAGGGAGGGATAGTTCCTAGAAGGAATGAAAGGGCCAGAAATCTCCCTCCGCGCCCAAGAAGACCTCAGCACCGCAAGTAGCGCAGATGCAGCATGGAACCCGTGCCATACCCTACCCTTCACGCCAGTAAACCAGCAATCCGGGATAGTAACCTCACATCTGCCGAGCTACCTCGGTGTACAAAAGAGAGGGCGGCCAGATATCCGCCACAAAGCATACCTCCTTTGGCCACCACCCCCGGAATCCAAAAGGTGGCTTCCAGATACACCCGTCACCCGAAAGACACCCAAAGCTGCCCTCTGGGATACCGGAGAGGGATCGGGACATCCCCAGGTGATCCAGATTCCACGGCAAACTACGCCACCGCCAAGAACCTCAACAGAATGGGATGGACCGCGGTACCCTTTCCCCTACCTAGGAACTAGCGCGCCTATGGGAAAAATCCCAAAGTACAAAAAGAGGAAGGGCAAAAGGGAGGGGTGGGGAGGAGGAGGAGGAAAGGAAAAAGGGGGAGGATGGGACAGGGAAGGGGGGATTGGGGGGTTAATTAGGTTCGGTCTGAGGAAGGAGCTCGACAGGTCTGATTCCTCAGACCAAGAGCCTCTTCACTACGCCAAGGAGCCCCCCTTGAAGAGGTCTTGGGGAAAAGCTGATAAAAAATGCAGATTCTTTTGAAAGTTTAATGATAAGGAATGTTTTATAAAAATATTATTTCCTATATAAAGCCATTTGATTTTTTAATATTCCCCCAGATTTTAGTGAAATCAGTCAACTGGGAATTTTTCCTTCATATTTTGGGCTTGGTATCCCTGTTTTGAAGGTTCTTATTATCCAGCCTATCATTTTCTTTGCAGTTTTTTTTTTTATGCAGTTCAACGTACAGGTTACCAGCAATACTCCTATCTCAGCTTATTTCAAAACCTAGCCTTATCTAAGCTATGCTACCAACCCATAGAACGAGTACCATAGCAGTCAACTAACACTTAGATGCCAAATAGTATGTATATACTGATGGGTAAACAGGGGTTAAGGAGACTTGATCTAATGTCATCCAGTTTTTACAGCAACATCTTTGTATTCACTGAATAAGACTCTCCAACTTCTGATAATTCTTAAACATATCTGTGAATATTCAGCAACATCTTTTAGTTTATGGACCCCTTTTCAAATAATTATGATACCCATGAATAAGTGCTCCTTTAAAAATCAAATCTACAGTTTTCTAGCCTTTAAGCATAGTACAAATACACTGCATCCATAAAAGCTCTTCAAGCAGCCTATCTAAATCCAGAACAGAACACACAGTTAAGAAGAGCACACTTACTGTGTAAACAGTAATCTGAATTCTTACTTGACAAACTGATTCATTAATTCACAGAGTTCCTCCTCTGTAAGTGTAGAGGATGAAAGCTTCTGTCTAAGTGCTGATGCTGCAGGTTCATTTCCATTAATTCTCAAGAGATGACCAGCAGAGCTGGAGACTGTAGAAACCCTTGCATGTGAACGCAGTAGTGGAAAAAATGCCCGACACAGTGCAAGTGTACCAAAGAAGTTAACCCTTATTGTGTTTTCTGCTTGTTCTCCAAATGGTTCAGTTGCTGCTGCCTGTTGTAACATAACCAAAAATTACATAAAACTTTTTAAAACCTAAGCACTTACACAACAAACTCATTCATAAGTTCACCAAGTTGCTCTTCTGTTAAAGTGGATGATGCAAACTTTTCTCTAAGTGCAGCAGCTTGAGGTTCATTTCCATCAATTTTTGAAAGATGACCACAGGAGCTAGATACTGTGGCAACTCTAGCATGAGGTTTTAGCAGAGGAAAGAGAGCATGGCAAACTGCTAAAGTACCAAAGTAGTTCACTCTTATGGTATTCTCAGCTTGCTCGCCGAAGGGTTCTGTAGCTGCATGCTTGAAATAAATATCATTAGCTTTAAAAGGTAAATTAAAGATATTTAAAAGGTAAATAAAGATATTATAACGATATTGCATTTTAGTACTCTACAGTATCCTGCCCTTGGAAATACAATATATTGTACAATACTAGACAAAAATACTGTATGCTAGACAAAGTGTAACAACTTTAGTAAGACATTACTCACATTACAATAAATAAAAAGATTCTGAAAACACTGTACAGTGTATTTCAACCAATCCTAGATATATTTAGTTATGATAATGATAATACTACACACATTTAAACTATCATATCTGGGTGCCTCTACAAATACAATTATTATGTGTGCATGATGGTGAAAGTACTGAATGATGGCAAAAGTTTTTCTTTATTTTTTTGGGTCACCCTGCCTCAGTGGGAGATGGCCAACATGTTGACAAAAAAAATGATAAGGCTTTATTCCAGGCAACTGTTAAAGAACTTAGACATATTATTATGTAAGACTTCTTGTATAGTTAAATACAATCATAGGTTCAATAAGAAAAGTAGCTAATAAGTGTCAATTACAAAACACTTATATTTAAACTGGTGAGGCATTACGTAAAATGAAAGGGGGTAAAGCAGCTGGTACTGATGGGATCATGACAGAAATGTTAAAAGCAGGGGGGGATATAGTGTTGGAGTGGTTGGTACTTTTGTTCAATAAATGTATGAAAGAGGGGAAGGTACCTAGGGATTGGCGGAGAGCATGTATAGTCCCTTTATATAAAGGGAAAGGGGACAAAAGAGACTGTAAAAAAATTATAGAGGAATAAGCTTACTGGGGTATACCAGGAAAAGTGTACGGTAGGGTTATAATTGAAAGAATTAGAGGTAAGACAGAATGTAGGGTTGCGGATGAGCAAGGAGGTTTCAGAGTGGGTAGGGGATGTGTAGATCAAGTGTTTACATTGAAGCATATATGTGAACAGTATTTAGATAAAGGTAGGGAAGTTTTTATTGCATTTATGGATTTAGAAAAGGCATATGATAGAGTGGATAGAGGAGCAATGTGGCAGATGTTGCAAGTATATGGAATAGGTGGTAAGTTATTAAATGCTGTAAAGAGTTTTTATGAAGATAGTGAGGCTCAGGTTAGGGTGTGTAGAAGAGGGAGACTATTTCCCGGTAAAAGTAGGTCTTAGACAGGGATGTGTAATGTCACCATGGTTGTTTAATATATTTATAGATGGGGTTGTTAAGGAAGTAAATGCTAGGGTGTTTGGGAGAGGGGTGGGATTAAATTATGGGGAATCAAATTCAAAATGGGAATTGACACAGTTACTTTTTGCTGATGATACTGTGCTTATGGGAGATTCTAAAGAAAAATTGCAAAGGTTAGTGGATGAGTTTGGGAATGTGTGTAAAGGTAGAAAGTTGAAAGTGAACATAGAAAAGAGTAAGGTGATGAGGGTGTCAAATGATTTAGATAAAGAAAAATTGGATATCAAATTGGGGAGGAGGAGTATGGAAGAAGTGAATGTTTTCAGATACTTGGGAGTTGACGTGTCGGCGGATGGATTTATGAAGGATGAGGTTAATCATAGAATTGATGAGGGAAAAAAGGTGAGTGGTGCGTTGAGGTATATGTGGAGTCAAAAAATGTTATCTATGGAGGCAAAGAAGGGAATGTATGAAAGTATAGTAGTACAACACTCTTATATGGGTGTGAAGCTTGGGTGGTAAATGCAGCAGCGAGGAGACGGTTGGAGGCAGTGGAGATGTCCTGTTTAAGGGCAATGTGTGGTGTAAATATTATGCAGAAAATTCGGAGTGTGGAAATTAGGAGAAGGTGTGGAGTTAATAAAAGTATTAGTCAGAGGGCAGAAGAGGGGTTGTTGAGGTGGTATGGTCATTTAGAGAGAATGGATCAAAGTAGAATGACATGGAAAGCATATAAATCTATAGGGGAAGGAAGGCGGGGTAGGGGTCGTCCTCGAAAGGGTTGGAGAGAGGGGGTAAAGGAGGTTTTGTGGGTAAGGGGCTTGGACTTCCAGCAAGCGTGCGTGAGCGTGTTAGATAGGAGTGAATGGAGACGAATGGTACTTGGGACCTGACGATCTGTTGGAGTGTGAGCAGGGTAATATTTAGTGAAGGGATTCAGGGAAACCGGTTATTTTCATATAGTCGGACTTGAGTCCTGGAAATGGGAAGTACAATGCCTGCACTTTAAAGGAGGGGTTTGGGATATTGGCAGTTTGGAGGGATATGTTGTGTATCTTTATATGTGTATGCTTCTAGACTGTTGTATTCTGAGCACCTCTGCAAAAACAGTGATAATGTGCGAGTGTGGTGAAAGTGTTGAATGATGATGAAAGTATTTTCTTTTTGGGGATTTTCTTTCTTTTTTGGGTCACCCTGCCTCGGTGGGAGACGGCCGACTTGTTGAGAAAAAAAAAAAAAAAAAAAAAAATAATGATCTTCAGTTTTTATGGCATGATTGAAAAGAGATGGTGAAATTATAGCAAGGTATTTGAATTACAATACAAATCACTGGAAAATTACATTAAATTTTTTTAGTACATCAGCCATTTCCCACTGAGGCAGGGTGACCCAAAAAGAAAGAAAAAAAAATTTCATTATCATTCAACACTTTCACCATTACTCATACATAATCACTGTCTCTGCAGAGGCACTCAGATACAGCAGTTTAGATGTCCCTCCAAACTGCCAATATCCCAAACCTCTCCTTTAAAGTGCAGGCATTGTGCTCCCCACCTCCACAACTCAAGTCCGGCTAACTGGTTTTCCTGAATCCCTCCACAAAATATTACCCTGCTCACACTCCAACAGTTTGTCAGGTACCAAAAGCCATTCATCTCCACTTACTCTATCTAAAACACTCACACATGCCTGCTGTACATCCAAGCCCCTTGCACCCATAAGGGTTATACAGTGGACGCTTGGTTATCAGCTGTTGCTGTTATCGACCAACTTGGTGACTGCCCGGTTTTTCGGCTCCCAGTGATTGGCCGTTATTCGGTGATCGGCAATTTTGGACGCGTCCGTCCGCCGGCTGGGGCAGCTTGCGCATCAGTTTGGCTGTGTCTTTCGGTGCGTGAGGAAGCTTCTGCTCATACATCCAAACATTTCGCTTGTTTTCCATGGTTTTTTGTGGGTTTTTCGCAGTGCAACTGTGAAATAAGTAACCATGGCTCCAAAGAAAGTTCTTAGTAAAGTTCTTGTGGTAAAGAAAATGAGAAACACCATAGAATTTAAGTGCAAAGTGTAGCAGGCATGCAGAGTGTAGCAGGCATGCAGGAAGTGTAGCAGGCATGCAGAAAGTGTAGCAGGCATGCAGGAAGTGTAGCAGGCATGCAGGAAGTGTAGCAGGCATGCAGGGAGTGTAGCAGGCATGCAGAGAGTGTAGCAGGCATGCAGGGAGTGTAGCAGGCATGCAGGGAGTGTAGCAGGCATGCAGGGAGTGTATCAGGCATGCAGGGAGTGTAGCAGGCATGCAGGGAGTGCAGCAGGCATGCAGGGAGTGCAGCAGGCATGCAGGGAGTGCAGCAGGCATGCAGGGAGTGCAGCAGGCATGCAGGGAGTGCAGCAGGCATGCAGGGAGTGCAGCAGGCATGCAGGGAGTGCAGCAGGCATGCAGGGAGTGCAGCAGGCATGCAGGGAGTGCAGCAGGCATGCAGGGAGTGCAGCAGGCATGCAGGGAGTGCAGCAGGCATGCAGGGAGTGCAGCAGGCATGCAGGGGGTGCAGCAGGCATGCAGGGAGTGCAGCAGGCATGCAGGGAGTGCAGCAGGCATGCAGGGAGTGCAGCAGGCATGCAGGGAGTACAGCAGGCATGCAGGGAGTACAGCAGGCATGCAGGGAGTACAGCAGGCATGCAGGGAGTGCAGCAGGCATGCAGGGAGTACAGCAGGCATGCAGGGAGTGCAGCAGGCATGCAGGGAGTGCAGCAGGCATGCAGGGAGTGCAGCAGGCATGCAGGGAGTGCAGCAGGCATGCAGGGAGTGCAGCAGGCATACAGGGAGTGCAGCAGGCATGCAGGGAGTGCAGCACGCATGCAGGGAGTGCAGCATGCATGCAGGGAGTGCAGCAGGCATTCCAGAAGCCAGCATTAGTCTTCAATAAAGGTATGGAATACTGATTTAATTGTTAAAAAAATTATTTTTGGTGAATATTTTTGTCTGGAACGGATTAATTGTAATTACATTAACCCTTTCAGGGTCTCCAGGCCCTCTCCCAGACTTGTTCTCAGGGTTGCCCAAATTTAAAAAAAAAATCTCATGAAAAGATAGAGAATCTTTTCCCGATCATAATGACACCAAAAGTTTGAAATTTGATGGAAAACTTACGGAATAATGCTCTCGTGAAGTCAGCGGTCTCGACGATGTTTACGCATCGGCGATTTTGCCCACTTTGAGCCCTATTTTTGGCCAATTCCAATGTACTAGTCGACAAAAATCATAACTATTTCGCTAGAACTCCATTTTTCTATCAAATGAGTACAGGAAACCACCCATTTACCGATTTTAACTATCCGATACAGTGGTCAGAATTTAGCAATTTTGCCAATTTCACACAAATTTCAAAAGATGCCAATTTCCAAATAGGGTCCAGAATAAACAAGAAAGAATTCCTGGCACTAAAATAACATTTTCTCTGTTCATTAGTCACGTCCCCAGGCCCTTCTTACATTCTTTTGTTTTCCACTTTGAATTTTTATTCTCAAAAAAATAGAAGATTTACTGTTATGCAGACTACTGCATTAGTATAGAAATGGTATAAATAATATCGGCGCACTTGTGAAAGAACATTAGACTCACCAGCTGACGTGTATTGGACACATAGCATGATTTGTTTACTTTTGAACTTTGGTAAAAATCGAACATTTCTGCTAATTTGAGCTCAATTTCAAGGTACTTTTCATTGTAAAACCAGTCAAAATCATCTCAATTTCTGTAATATGTCTTCCATTCTATAAAATGAGACCAGGAAAACTAGAATACAACAATAAATACCATACGAAAATATAGTGCAAAGTCACTGTTTTAATCCAAAAACACGGTCAAAGTTTTTTTTTCTCATTACGCACTGTGTGCTGCAGGATTTTTTTTATACTGCGCACACTGACCACACAGACCCATTCTTTAATATGTAGGCCTACCAGCTTTCTCTCACTAGATTTGAGGGCGCTAGAATTTAGGCATACTAGTATGTCAAAAACTCTGGTGCGTAAGCTGTACTAGTACGGCCGAAACCCTGAAAGGGTTAATTCTTATGGGAAATATTATTTCCGTTTTCAGTCATTTTGGTTTTAGGCCGAGCTTCTGGAACGGATTACGGCCGATAACCGAGGGTCCACTGTATAGCACTATATTGTTTCATAACATTGCCATATTTTTAAATGTTAGTTAATTTTTTTGTGTGTGAAATTTCAGTGCACTTCCAAGACAAAGATTAGCTAATTTATGAGTGGTAAATTACAATGTACAATATTTCACCATGTATCACTATACAAACTTTGTAAGCCATAGCTGCATTGTTGACAAGCACATCAAAGCCACCATAAGTTTTCTTGATGTAATCAGCAAAAGCAGCAATACTCTCTGCATTGTCAATATCAAGCTGATGAAAGTGAGCAGACAGTCCCAACTGAAAATTAACATGTACATAAATTGTCAATTTATTTCTAGTAATATAAATACAATGTTTATTACATACAAATGACCACAACACAAGACACAATCTCTTTTTGATATACCTCGTGTCCATATCACACTGTGTAAAAACTCTATGCACATAAAGGGCCCCAAAATATGGAATTCATTACCAGGAGATATTAAAGTAACCCAGTCTGAAAATCAATTTAAGACTCTTCTCAAAAGCCACTTAATCACCCTAGACTAAATGCTAAATACTCAGTACACACTTACTCACCTATGTACTCCCACATCATAACTGAAACAATCACTTTGAACCTTTTATCCATTATTGACAGGAATATAATTGAATCATTGTTTTCACAAAAAGCGCTTTCGAATATAAATATATTTTTGTATTATACAAATTTTGATTCATTTATAATTAATATTCTACTGTACAACTACGAAATAATTACTATCCTACTGTACAACTATGATATACTCCTTAGTGTTAAGTAGACTGTAAGCCAATAATGTTAAGTTGGCCCATAATGCCTAGGCATAATAGAGGCTCTCTTTGTATTGCAATCCACTATTGTAAATATAAAATCTCAATGTACTGTTTGCAAAGACATGAAATAAATAAATAAATGAGGAACATACTTAAAGAGATTCACTAAAAATTATGAAGCTCTACTGATTTTGTTTATTACATTATTTAACAATTATTTTTGTTTGCACATAAATACACAAGACTTAAGAATTTAGGAATCTCACAAAATGTATGCACAATACTGTACTTCAGGTTTTACCAAGCATATTTTATACAACAATGTTTTGGGCAAGTCTAAAAATTGAAACTTCATGATAATTCACTGGTTGAATGTATGGTTAGGTAATAAGTATAGAGAAAAGTAGCAATTAGTGATTATTTATAGGCTCTGAATAACATGATTACAGAATAATATTAATAAATGAAGATTAAATGTTATTGTAATGCAGTTATAAATTACAGTACTGTATTAAAAAATAAGACTCACATTTATAAAATTTGTAATTTTGATGGCCATCATAGGTATTATTATAATCACAGGGAAGCGCTAAACCCGTAGGATTATACAGCGCATGTGGGAGGGATGGAGGGTATTCAGGCTCAATTCAGGGAACCAGACACAGATCCAATTTCCTAGATCAAGAGTCCCTCACCAGCATCAAGGAACCTCCCTAGAGGGACCCTCATAGGTAGAGGCAGGCCATTATATGCACAGCATTTCAGAGGATTAAATTTCTTTCATATAGTCACAAAATGTGCCAACCTTGTGTGGGTCATAAAGCTAAATGTTTACTGTATAGCAAAATAATTATATGAAAAGTAAGAAACCTTTCATATATATAATGAAAATGGTATCTGATTAAGGGGAATAACTGCTGAGTATATACAGCGCCAAACAATGACTATGACCCCCAATGGAAATAAGCCGCTTCATCTGACTTTTTTTGGGTTATACTAAGTGATGTACATATATGCTATACTCTTCTAAACATTCATGGACTGAACACATTGACTCCAGACTGAGGGGCTGATTATCTCAAACTCCTCCTCACATTCCACCATTCTTTGTATTGGACTGAAGGAGTCATTGGCTGGTGAAATGTTTCCTTAACCCTTTCAGGGTTTCGGCCGTACTAGTACGGCTTGCATGCCAGTGTCCATGACGTACTAGTACGCATAAATTCTAGCGCCTTCAAATGTAGTGAAAGCTGGTAGGCCTACATATGAAAGAATGGGTCTATGTGGTCAGTGTGCGCAGTATAAAAAAAAAAATCCTGCAGCACACAGTGTGTAATGAGAAAAAAAAAAACTTTGATCGTGTTTTTGGATTAAAACAGCGACTTTGCACTGTATTTTCGTATGGTATTTATTGTTGTATTCTAGTTTTCCTGGTCTCATTGTATAGAATGGAAGACATATTACAGAAATTGAGATGATTTTGACTGGTTTTACAATGAAAAGTACCTTGAAATAGAGCTCAAAGTAGCAGAAATGTTCGATTTTTACCAAAGTTCAAAAGTAAACAAATCGTGCTAAGCGTTCAATACACGTCAACTGGTGAGTCAAATATTCTTTCACATATGTGCTGATATTATTTATACCATTTCTACACTAATGCAGTAGTCTGCATAACAGTAAATCTTATTTTTTTTGTGAGAATAAAAATTCAAAGTGGAAAGCAAAAGAAATGTAAGAGGGGCCTGGGAACGTGAATAATGAACAGAGGAAATGTTATTTTAGTGCCAGGAATGTTTTTCTTTTTTATTCTGGACCCTATTTGGAAATTGGCATCTTTTGAAATGTGTGTGAAATTGGCAAAATTGCTAAATTCTGACCACTGTATTGGATAGTTGAAATCGGTAAATTGGTGGTTTCTTGTACTCATTCGATAGAAAAAATGGAGTTCTAGCAAAATAGTTATGATTTTTGTCGACTAGTACATTGGAATTGGCCGAAAATAGGGCTCAAAGTGGGCAAAAATCGGCGATGCGTAAACATCGTCGAGTCCGCTAACTTCACGAGAGCATAATTCCGTAAGTTTTCCATCAAATTTCATACTTTTGGTGTCATTATGGTCGGGAAAAGATTCTCTTATCTTTTCAGAAGAAAATCTTTTTTTTTTTTTTTTGAAAATTGGGCGACCCTGAGAACAAGTCTCTGAGAGGGCCTGTGGACCCTGAAAGGGTTAATAAAGGTTCCCAAATGTTGTACAAATGTCTCATTCTTCAACACAACTTACTATGTATGATTATTGTACTTATGTGGACCGGTATCTAAATAAACTAACTTACGTCAGAACTGCTATTGAAATGATCGGCAAGAAAAAAATATAATTGCAGTGGACCAAGATAGATTTAGCATTAGTGGTTGTGACATTTACTGAGCACTTATGCCAAGTAGGTCACTCAGCACTCTTAACCATAAAAAATTTGGCTGGGAATTATAAACTAGACAAAATTAAGTTTGTTGGGATTTTTTAACCAGGAAGGCTAGCCGCCAAGGATAAGCCAGTAGAGTCAGTGCGTCATCAATGACTGTCTCATTTCCATTGGGGTCCTTTTAATTTCGTCCCAGAGAATGCAACCCACACTAAATAACTAGCACCCAAGTACCTACTACCTGCTAGGTGAATGGGAAACAGGTAAGGAAACATGCCCAGACATAATGGTTTTGAATCGGACAAATTTATATTCAGAAAAGACGTAGGTAAGTATGTACTGGTTTTCAGAGTTGTCAATGCATGGAACAATCTACTGAATAGGGTAATAGAGGCTATGACCTTGGGTAGCTTTAAAAAGGGAGTGGGTTTGACGATTACCTGAGATAGCGAAGCAAATTCCTGAGTAACTTTGGTTAAAGGATGGACAAATACATACTTGGCTTTCATAAGATGTCTTGTACAGTATAGGCCAGTTGCAGTGTGTGAGGCAAGTGCACTAACCAAGCCATGAGACACCTATACACTGACTTTTTTTTTTTTTTTGTAGGCATGAGAGTGAATGTGTAGTGCCAAAATTATGCCGCAAAAACAATTTCTTACAATCCTAATATAAAAGTCTTACCTTCTTCAACTCCTCAATGGCAGCACGACCTCTTCCTTCATCACGAGCTGTTAGATAAACTATACCATTGAACTTGGCACAGAGTTCTTTCATTATACCAAACCCAATACCTTTGTTGCCCCCTGTTACCTGGTGAAAATAAAGAATTACATTATTTTACAGTATACACTTTGTGTGAATTAAGATTTAGATATATGCAACAAAACATTATGTATTGGTTTTCTATTAATCCAACTGAACAATATTTAAGTATATGTACAAGATCTACTCAGATCTTTATTCATTCTACAATTCTGGTTTATATATAGGTGATAAAATGCAATATCTTAGTGGAAAAAGACGAAAGATAAAAACTTAGAAGTACATGTATACTACTTAGACTTTTTGGGTTATCTTAGATAATTTACACATGTTAAACTAGGTATGATAATTGTACTTATGTGTACCTGTACCTAGACAAACTTACTAAGCTATAAAACTGATATTATGCCACTGATAGCTGCATATTTTTTCTACCATGCAAAGATGGTAGGTTGTCACACATAGATAAATGGTTCAGAGAACTGTAATAATGCATAAAAGTCTAGGCTAAGCTGTGGGCAAGATTAAATTAGTCTATCACTAGTTTCTCTAATTAATTAATTCAAAGCTATATAATATAAAAATTAACTACTTCAGTAAATGAGCAGGACAAAGCCTTGTAGATACAAGAACAAGAAAAAATTAAGATACTCTAAGTAAATCATATTTTAAACAGAAATGAATTACAGAGTACAGTAGTACCTCTGGATATGAACAGCTCAAAATGCAAACAATTATGTAAGCGTATTTATGTAAGTGCTATTGTAAGTATTTTTGGGGGTCTGTAATAGATTAATCTAATTTACATTACTCCTTATGGGAACAAATTCGTTCGGTATCAGCACTCCAATAGCCTTTTGGAACGAAATAAGTTTGTATCCCAAGGTACCATTGTATTTACAAAAATGTTAGTAATATGCTGATATTTCATTACAAACTACTGTACCACAACAAATCTACACTCAAATTGTTATGAGTTTAGATAAGGGCAAATAAAATTTAAATAACTCTGAAATTACTCACCACTGCAATCCTTTGAGCTGCCATGATAGCAACTGGTTGTTCTCTTCAAAGAAATTCCTTAAAAAAAAAAAAAAATTATTGATTTTCAACATGATGACAAAAATACATTACATGGATCTATCTTATAATGCTATATTACCATACTGATGCTTTATGTGCATATGGTAATGGCTTATGTAGTAAAAAAAAAAAATGCCTGGATGAGACAGCAGTGTTTGGGAGATGTTTTTAAAATTCCTTGTGAAGACTTATACCCCTCAAGGAAGGTTCCTTGATGTTGGTGAGGGGCTCTTGATTTAGGAAATTGGATCTGTGCTCCAGTTCCCTGAATTAAGCCTGAATGCCTTCCACATCCCCCCCCCAGGCGCTGTATAATCCTCCGGGTTTAGCGCTTCCCCTTGATTATAATAATAATGTGAAGACTTATAGGGATATTACTAGGTTAAGTTATCATAAAATAGTAATGTAATTTTTCTGTATATACTATAGCTGATGCAAATAAGATTTAAACTATACAAGTAAGTTTATTCAGGTATACACAAATACAGTTACATAGAGATTATCATATATAGCAGCATGTGTGTAGAGAACCTGGGACAACCCAAAAAAAGTCAGTAACTTATTTCCATTGGTGTTCCGAGCATAGTAAGTGGCTGCTAAGGACCCCAATGGAAATAAGCTGCTTTGACTTATTTTTGAGTTATCCTAGGTAAGAACATAAGAACATAAGAAAGGAGGAACACTGCAGGAGGCCTGTTGGCCCATACTAGGCAGGTCCTTTACAATTCATCCCACTAACAAAACATTTGCCCAACCCAATTTTCAATGCCACCCAAGAAATAAGCTCTGATGTGAAAGTCCCACTCAAATCCAACCCCTCCCACTCATGTACTTATCCAACCTAAATTTGAAACTACCCAAAGTCCCAGCCTCAATAACCCAACTAGGTAGACTGTTCCACTCATCTACTACCCTATTTCCAAACCAATACTTTCCTATGTCCTTTCAAATCTAAATTTTACCTAATTTAAATCCATTACTGCGGGTTCTCTCTTGGAGAGACATCCCAAGACCTTATTTAATATCTCCTTTATTAATACCTATCTTCCACTTATACACTTCGATCAGGTCTCCCCTCATTCTCGTCTAACAAGTGAATGTAACTTTAAGAGCCCTTCAATCTTTTTTTCATAAGGAAGATTTCTAATGCTATGTATTAATTTAGTCATCCTACGCTGAATGTTTCTAAACGAATTTACGTCCATTCTGTAATAGGGGACCGAACTGAGCTGCATAATCTAGTAAGGCCTTACTAATGATGTATAAAGCTGCAGTATGACCTCTGGACTTCTGTTACTTACACTTCTTGATAAAATCCCAGTAATCTATTTGCCTTATTACGTACGCTTAGGCATTGCTGTCTTGGTTTAAGGTTGCTGCTCACCATAACCCCCAAGTCCTTTTTGCAATCTGTATGGCTAAGTTCTACATCATTTAAACTTATAAGTACTAGGGTATGGGCACTCCCAAGCTTCAGAACCTTGCATTTATCTACATTGAACTGCATCTGCCACTTTTCTGACCAAGAATAGAGTTTGTTTAAATCCTCCTGAAGTTCCATAACATCTAGTTTTGAATCAATTATCCAAACCCATCTTTGTGTCATCGGCGAATTTGCTCATATCACTAGTAATTCCCTCATCAAGATCATTGATAAATATTATAAACAACAGCGGGCCCAAGACTGATCCCCGTGGAACGCCACTTGTTACAGATCCCCACTCGGATTTAACCCCATTTATGGACACTCTCTGCTTCCTGTCAATGAGCCATGACTCGATCCACGAGAGCATTTTTTCCCCCAATGCCATGAGCTGCCACTTTCTTAACAGTCTATGGTGCGGAACTCTATCAAAAGCCTTACTAAAATCTAAGTAAATAATATCAAATTCTTTATCGTGGTCAACAGCCTCAAAAGCTTTACTGAAGAAAGTTAATAAATTAGTTAGACAAGACCGGCCTCTTGTGAATCCATGCTGAGTATCATTAATCAAGCTATGCTTATCGAGATGGCTTCTTATAATCTCAGCTATAATTGACTCTAGTAATTTGCCTACAATTGAGGTCAGGCTTATTGGGCGGTAATTTGACGGTAACGACTTGTCCCCTGTTTTAAAAATAGGAATTACATTAGCCATCTTCCACATATCAGGTAATTTACATGTCACACTATATATGATAATTATACTTATGTTACTTGTACCTAAATAACCTTACTCGTTAACCTTGATAATATACCTGGAGTTTACCTGGAGAGAGTTCCGGGGGTCAACGCCCCCGCAGCCCGGTCTGTGACCAGGCCGCCTGGAGGATCAGAGCCTGATCAACCAGGCTGTTGCTGCTGGCTGCACGCAAACCAACGTACGAGCCACAGCCCGGCTGATCAGGAACTGACTTTAGGTGCTTGTCCAGTGCCAGCTTGAAGACTGCCAGGGGTCTGTTGGTAATCCCCCTTATGTGTGCTGGGAGGCAGTTGAACAGTCTCGGGCCCCTGACACTTATTGTATGGTCTCTTAACGTGCTAGTGACACCCCTGCTTTTCATTGGGGGGATGGTGCATCGTCTGCCAAGTCTTTGCTTTCATAGTGAGTGATTTTCGTGTGCAAGTTCGGTACTAGTCCCTCTAGGATTTTCCAGGTGTATATAATCATGTATCTCTCCCTCCTGCGTTCCAGGGAATACAGGTTTAGGAACCTCAAGCGCTCCCAGTAATTGAGGTGTTTTATCTCCGTTATGCGCGCCGTGAAAGTTCTCTGTACATTTTCTAGGTCGGCAATTTCACCTGCCTTGAAAGGTGCTGTTGTGTGCAGCAATATTCCAGCCTAATAGAACAAGTGACCAAAGAGTGTCTCAGGGGCTTGGCCTCCCTATTTTAAGGGTTTCTCATTACCACCTGTCATTTTTCTACAATGCGTTTTAACAATTTTAAAGGCCTTGAAGGTGAGATCTTCCGACATGATCACCCCCGGGTTTTTTGACGTTGGTTTCGCTCTATTTTTGTGGCCAAATTTTGTTTTGTACTCGATGAAGTTTTAATTTCCTCATTTTTACCATATCTGGAATTAAAAATTTCTCACTTTGAACTTCATATTTTAAAAACATTAAAAAAATATTTTTAAAGGAAACCCCAAAGGGAAAATAAATTCCACTTATTGGGGTTACTAATATAACTCTACAAATAACTATATATTGCCTTAAAAAAACCCATTAAAAATATTAAACTTTTTGAAACAGGGTAAAAAAATTAAGGGGCCCATAAAAGTGTTGTCTTCCAAGACTGTTTCATTTTATATTACTACATAATATACATAATGTGTGTATATGTAATATCATAATAAATGGTATAAATTTTAAATAAAAAGCCTTAAAGCCGAGATAGTTTTAAACCGGTATATTCTCTTAAATACTATCTCTGTTATATAACCCACTAATATAATTTTCTTTAAACACCACCGACCCCACCGAGGCGGGTGGCCCAAAAGAAAAAATTTAATTTTTCTCCTTTTTAAATTTTTAGAAATATACAGGAAAGGGGTTACTACCCCCTTTCTCCCGGCTTTTAGTCACCTCTTACAACCCCTCAGGGGTTTAAGGGGGAAGAATCGTTCATTCCCCATGGAGAAAAGAGGAAATAAACCAAAAACAAGAATTAGAAAAAAAATAGAAAAAAACCCCAAGGGGTGTGTATATATATGCTTGACATATATGGGCAGAGACATGTATAGTCCCTTTTAAAAAGGGGGAAAGGGGGCAAAGGACTGAAAAAATTTAAGAGGAAAAGCTTACTGAGTATACCGGGAAAAAGTGACGGGGGTTTAAAATTTTGAAAGAATTTGGGGAAAAACAGAATGTGGATTGCGGATGAGCAAGGAGGTTTTAGAGGGGTAGGGGATGGAGATCGGGTTTTTTACAAAGCATATATGTGAACAGTATTTAGATAAAGATAGGGAATTTTTATTGCATTTTTTGGGTTTTGAAAGGCAATGAAAGTGGATAGAGGAGCAATGTGGCAGATTTTTGCAAGTATATGGAAAGTGGGAAGTTATTTAAATGCTGTAAAGAGTTTTTATGAGGAAGTGGGCTCAGGTTGGGTGTGAGAAGAAGGGGGGAAATATTCCCGAAAAGTAGGTCTTAGACAGGAGGAATGTCACCATGGTTGTTTAATATATTTATAATGGGGGTTTTAAAGGAAGTAAAAGCAGGGTTTTGGAGAGGGGGGGGATTAAATTATGGGAATCAAAAAATTTAAAGGAATTGAACACATTACTTTTTGCGTGAACTGTGCTTAGGGATTCTAAAGAAAAATTGCAAAAGGTTTTGATGAGTTTGGGAATGTGTTAAAGGGAGAAAGTTTAAAGTGAAATAGAAAAAAGTAAGGGGAAGGTGTCAAAAGATTTAGATAAAGAAAAAAAGGATATCAATTGGGGAGGAGGAGTATGGAAGAAGTGATGTTTTTAGATACTTGGGAGTTTTACGTGTCGGCGGATGGATTTTGAAAGGGGTGAGGGAATCATAGAATTGATGAGGGAAAAAAGGGGAGTGGGCGTTGAGGAATTGGATCAAAAAAAAGTTATCTATGGAGGCAAAGAAGGAATGTATGAAAGATAGATACCAAAACCCCTTTTTGGGTGGAAGCTTGGGTGGTAAATGCAGCGCGAGGAACGGTTGGGGCACGGGGATGTCCTGTTTAAGGGCAAAGTTGGTGTAAATAATTTTGCAAAAATTCGGAGTGTGGAAATTAGGAGAAGGTTGGAGTTAATAAAAATATTTTCAAGGGCAGAAGAGGGTTGTTTAGGTGGTTTGGTCATTTAGAAGAAAGGATCACAGAAATGACATGGAAACTTAAATTATAGGGAAGGGAAAGGGGGGGGTAGGGGGCGTCCTCGAAAGGGTTTGGGAGAGGGGGGAAAGGAGGGTTTTTGGTAAGGGGCTGGACCCAGCAACGTGCGTGAGCTGTTAGATTGATAAAGAGACAATGGAAATTTGGACCTGACATT